TTCGCCGACTGTCTCTGACGAAGGCGCGACGCCGGGAACGGCCGCGGCGGAGGCGGAGGCTGATGGGTATTTGCTCGCAAGAATGCCTTCGTTCGATCCCGAGTTAATCTGGGAAGTCCTCGCGAATTAGAGAGAGCGAGGAGAGGAAATTATGGATTTGGATCGACGAGGTCAATCCGAAGATTGAGAACCTGGAGACCAGAAGACGAAATTAGGGTTTTTTGCTCTTGATGTGGGGTTTTAGCTTTTAAGTATAATGGGTGACTAAGTTAGGATTTGTATAATTACGGTCGTCTTTGTGTTTTGTTACTGTCACAATGATGGGTTAATTAGGGTTTACGCCTCGTAATTTTTTCAAGAGGCAGAAATTGGAGAAGTTCCTTTTGGGGTTGTCTGGTTTTTGAGGAACTCTGCTTTGTACTTTTTTAGTTTTTCCCCCTATATATACATATATATATATATATATATATATATTTGTTTTTTCAAATCCATTTTTTAACTTTGAAACCAGAAGAAACGTCATACGACAAGTCTGATGATTGAGGTTCGACTGGACATTTTCAGTATATTGTTGGCCGTTGATCTTAGTTCAACTGCAAATCCAAAAGGGAGGCTGCAATTGTAAATTTAGTAAAAAATTATCACCGAATGGAAATGACGGCCATTCCGTCATCATGGGCTCAAATGCCAAATATCTTATAACTGGATGATCTCACCAATTATGCACTCTTCTTAATGCCACAAATGATGTAAATGCGAACTCCCTAAATAAGCATGAAAATTATTTTATTTTTAGTTAAAATTTGTTCTATATACGCTCGTAATATAACCTTTACTTGCCGGTCTCGTTTTTCAAAACAATGACAGGCTCAAAGACTATCAACATCATTACATTTCTATTTGCCTATGGAATTTTTCAATATCGTTGGAGGATTGCAAAGGAATCAGAAATTAGACGAGTATACGGAATACTGACACCAATGTAAACATTTCACTCACAGGTTTATTACTCTGATCAAAGAAACGATTGGGAGCTTAATTAGAGGAGAAGGGTTGGAGGGTGGCTTGTTGGTGCCACTTACCGTTCAGATTGGATTGCCAGAGCCTAACCATCCCATCGCTTCCACTGCTCGCTAGCGTCATTCCGCTCATGTCCCATTCCATCTCCCGCACCTGTTTCCATCATTACACACCCAAACAAACCCTTACATTTGGTTTTCTTGCATTTCCACTGTAATATAATCTCCAAAGCTTCCATTTTTTTCCATAATAAAACCAGTTTTTTTTAAAGACCTTTTGGGTTTTTCTTTTAGGGTTTTTAGTTTTAAAAAATGTTTGTGTTGCTACCTCTCCTTCGTGGCCAGAAAGGGAAGCCGCCTTCTTCACTGAGAGCCTTCCGTCCATGTCAGGAGTTAGCCCCACGTGCCATATGCCAATGCCTTTGCTAGTTGCAACAGCAACGACCTCATATGATCTGTACCAACGATTACGGTAAGTCGTGATCAACTTACAAATAACAGGGCAACAACTCAAAAGATGTGGAAGAACGGTCATCATTTTTCAGGCCAATTTTCTGAAATCCTATGAAACGGTTTTTTCAAAGAGGAGCAGATTATCAGTTACCTGCCAATATTGGGGGCCCATGCCACAGCAAAAACTCGATCACCTCGATCCTCCGGCAAGGCTAACTCTGCAACTGCCAGCCATCTATTATGTGTCTCGTCAAATTCCCAGACCTGCACAAATCTATCATGTTTTTTAGACAAAACGAACAAATCAAGACCAAGGCTATCATAAGTGTGCCTCTTCCATTAACGGATGAAAACTGAGAAACTATTGAAGTTATTGGTCACATTTGCCCAGAACACAAGAAGAACTAGAAGGCTATAATAAATATAGAACTCAAAGCAAACTCGAATATGATTCAGAGTCCATTATGTGATTCTCAAAGATTTGAAAAGGTTTTTCTAGGGCACAAGGCGTTTGATTTGCCCTTTTACGAAAATTGTTCATTCCTTCAGTTCCTAGTTCAGAGTTAGTGAAACAAGGTCTTTGTTCAACATACCTTAGAAGAATTAACATGCGGAGAATCTGAATTGAATCCCAAAACAAAGCTAGGTTCTTGGTTTTCACCCTTCAGTGCATTCCAGGAAACAGATGCAGATAAACCAGAAGCTTTTCCAAGCGAAGATACTGAATCTATAACATTCTGAAATTCAGCCTGGCATATTGTGGATAGAAATAAGATATAGTGTATAGAAAGAAGGAAAATGCTACATGGGAAACAAAGAACTCAAACACCACAAGATCAGTAGTCACGGTAACTAGCAATGCAGAACAAAGAAAGTAAACCGGATAAGGTCAGAACGCAAGTCACCTGAAGTTGCCAATTCTTCAGTTCCAGTGGATCCAACAGCTCAAAAATCCTGATGTACCCATCAGAATATGCTGCAACCTGCAAAATAACACAAAATCATAATTTTAAAAGGCTGCAAAAGAGTTGAGGAATGCATCCTAAGGCAAATCTAAGCATGTTCTATCTGAATCAACAAATTCTCATAACATAACCACAGTAAAAACTGAATGGAAAATACAAGAAGCTCACCATCTTTAGACTCTTTCTTGAAACTCCAAACTGGACATCAAGCACTCGACCCGTCTTGTTCTTGAAATTTTTACACAGCTTCCATTCAAGGGCATGGGAATCTGACAGCCAACACAACTCTATAGCATAAGGACTCTACCAAACAGCTAAAAGCACAAAAAAAAAAAAAACCCGAAAAACCAATGGCTCTAGACTTTATAGAGAATCCCATCCCATGTACTGAAATCATTCAGCAGCTCAAGCAAATAGTTGCTGGAAAAATCAAGAAAGTACCTTCAGCAGCCTCCTCCCATATCGACAAACAACCATCTTCACAAATGCAGGCTACAGCATCACCGAACTCCGGAGGCAGCCAAACAATCTTTACAATGCTCGTTTCACCAACCTTTAATTCGAAGGAAGAAGAAAAAACATAATATCACCATTCTTCAGAAAAATCCAACACAGAGAAACATTATAATCGCGAACCTCATTCATCTGAGCATTGCCCTAAAAACAGCTAACTAAACATTTCACGGAAAATTAGGCACAGGATATAAGCGTAATACTTTGAGATCACGTATCGATGAATTACACAGAAGACAAGAGGAAGAGGACGAACCCTAACTTTGGAGGAGCAAGTGAAAGAAGAAGAAGGAGAAGCGGAGGCATCGGAAGCATCGTAGAGGGCGAGGCTTCCATCGACGGAGCCGGCGGCGAGTCGGTGGCCGGAGTAGTTCCACGACGAGCACGTCGTGTCACTATCCAGCGTCGCCATAGATTTCGCCATTTCACGTACACTGAAGCTAGAGTAACAGCGGTCTCCGATTCAGTTCCCAAACGCGGGCAGAGAAATTCTAGGGTACGTGGTCTGACCCACTATATTTATGAGTTCAATATTGGATGAAACAAAACTAATTGAGCCTTTCATGTTAGGCCCATTTAATGCTAAGGCCCAAACGGTTGAGATGCAGGTAAATAAATCTAAAAATATGTTTCAGGGATAATAATAATAATAATAACAACAACAATCATCATCATATCAAGCGCACGAAAAATCTCTCCGAGGCGGTTTTCCGGACAAGCGAACTCATCACCGGGGCCCACATCTGTCTCCGCCGACTCTGAAATCGTCGCGAGAGTTCCCACCTTGCCATAAACGACGTAGTATCGATCGTGACGAGGCGGAGGAGGAGCCGATGAAGAGAGGTGTTGTTGATATTTCGGCCTGAAAAAGGACTTGATGAGGAGCTTCTGGAGAGAGAGATCTCGTTGGAGGAAGAAGAAGACGGCGGTAGATGGCGGTCGGAGAGGTGGGGCATGGAGATGGACCGGCCGGAGGCGGCGGAGGAGATGGCCGAGTCGAGTTGACGCTTGAACGAGTCAAGCTCGAACGAGTCGTAGAGTGTGCTTCCGCAGTTCCAGACATTTGATTTCGTAATCTTGCTCATATTCTTACCACTCTCTGGTCGTTTCTCTTTAGGTTTTTGTCGGAAATTCTCCTTGTCTTCTTGTTTTCTCGTTTCTGGAGTTTCTCTGAACGTCTTGTCTGAAAACTCGTGATTTTATCAAAGAAAATTGCGACCAAGGTTAGGTGCCTGGTAAATTAATTACGCATGAATATGGATATAATATATATATATATGTAAATAGATTGTTGAATCAAAATGATATATCTTCCGTATAATATATGGTTGATCTTAATATTACTTTTTATTGGAATATTTCGATGCGATCAAAGCCAGAAAAGCTTACCAAACTTCATCTTCATCATGGTTTCCGTTTTCGGGTTCTTCAAAGGATCATAATAAAGATCGTATATATATATATATATATGCATATATACGCGTAGCGAGTAATTTCCTGAGTAAAAAAAAAGTGTAACGTGAAGCTTTCATGGTCTCTGTTGAATATGATGGAGCCGAATGGATTGAAGATCTCTCTCGCATTTATTTCTCACCTTTTTTTTTATATTGGTTTTTCCAAGAACGTGAAAGTCCAACATTTTGTATATTCTAAGATTCAATGGGTATATGCAAATGCATGGTCGAACCTTATGCACCCATTTGATTAATTAAAATTTTTAACTTCTTTATAAAATCTATAAAATATTAGATAAAATTGTTACATGACCCCACATTCAAATTAAATTTACCCCTATATAAATCTTGTTGTGATTATATATTTTTACTAGTTTTTTTTATATTTTATATGTATGCTAATAATACTAATGCCCCTATTCTAAATTTTTTTGGATCCGTCATTATCCAAATGTTACGAGCACTTTTATTTTATTTTATGTATGGCCATATGTGATATACTAATTAGTTAGGCTTTTGCTGACTATTCTTAGTCATGTCGATGTCTAAGAATTGCCATTTCGGTTATTAATCGAATAACCGAGTCGATCTGAACCGAATAAGATATATATGTATCCGAATCAAATTCGACATCAAAATCTAACGGTTATGATTTCTTTAAATCCGAAAAAACTAAAACCAAACTGAACTAAATAAAAAAATAACTGAAAAACCGATAATTTTTTTGAAAAAATGTATTTTTATCAAAACCGAACCGAACCTAAACCGAAAAATAACTAAATCGAACCGAACCGAAGTTTATATAAAAACTGAATGGGTTATAGTTTTCTATAACCGAAATAACTGAACCGAACAGAAATGGCTGCACCATAGCCGTAGCCAATAAATTAATAGACGTTTTGCATGAGGCATATTTTTTTTTTGTCAAACCAAGAAGTTCACCTGGGCCTTCGACCCAACCTACATCTCCCTGGACCCGAGAGCAGCCTTTGAACACACAATCTTTGGCTATGTCTCTCTCTCCCCACATGTCTGGATTCGAACCCCTGACCTGGAGGAGGAACACCCTCACTTCCACTCCAGGTACCACTCGACCACAGACATGTGGGTAAGATATATTTTATTCTATTAATTGATTATTGTATTTTTTGGATTTACCACGAAATATTATAAACTGTGTATAATTATAAATGGGTATCTTTAAGTCATATATATTTACACTAATCTCCTTTCGTGTGTTGATTAGTATACGTCAATAATAAAAAGAATGGTCTCAAAGTGATATTTTTTTTCTTTTTACCAAATCATATAAATTCTTTTGTTGCACTTTTTTTTTTCATGGAGAAAATGCCTAAATGCAAAGACGCAATGAAAAAATGGTCTAATGAAAGATTTCACAAAGTGGTCAACATTGTAGTGTAAGCTAATACAAATATACTTTTGGTAAGCTTTGATTTCCACATGCTCTAATGCCACCAAACTCGTGTTATTTGTTATAAATAAATAAAACAATTCGAAATTAAAAAAAAACAATTCAAAATTTAAAAAGCAAACGTTACATTTACAATCACAGGCTATAAAATACATAATACACAAGAAAATAACAACCCCAAAACTTGCAATAATGTTTACAAATTAGCAAGGTGGGTGGGTTAACAAATTATATTTAAAAAAAAAACAAAATAAAAGAACATGCGAGCAAGATTTTTGAAAATTGAAAACCCCTCGAACCCAGAATCTTTTTTTTTTTTGGAAAAAAAAAGCATTGGGAATTCATGAGATCTTGTCCCACTCAATCACAGAAAAAAAAGTTTTTTTTTTTACCTCATGATTTAAGAGCAACCTTCAAGATTGATCTCTTGAGATCATCGTACCGACCACGTTGGTAATCAACCAGAACACAGAGCTGTCTTATGGCATCCCTCTTCTCTTCTGCTAAACTCACCAATTCAACCTCTTTCTCCTTCACCTTGGCCTCCTGCTCTTTGATTCTCGTCTCGAATCTGCTAAGAAGCTTTGTCAAACTCAGTTTTTCGGTTCCTTCCTCCGCAAGTTTGCTCTCGAGTTTCGATAGTTTCCCCTTCAGCAACTTTTCTTGAGCTTCCTTGCATTCTAGCTTCGCTGCCATTGTTTCCACCTCATTGTTCTTCTTCCTCACCCATTTTCTTGCCCCATCTATCCCATTTGCCATTCTGTTCATCCGGACCGTGCATTCTCCGGCTTCTTCTAGCTTCTTGATCGCGATTTCGGATCCAGCGAGTCCATTTTCCAGCATATCCTTGATTTTCTTGAACTGGGTTTCGCAGAAAGGGAGGTTTCCTTCTCTGTTTCCTGCCATGTTTTCTTTGATATAGCTGTTCTTGCTCTCTAGGTGTATTTGTTCTGCCACATGGATCCTCCTGTACAGTATTCGGATATGATCTTCCATTTTCATCCTGAAGTCTTCCGCTAGTTCTTCCATTTTCTTCTCCAGAAGGTTAACGTTCAGTTTCGCGTCTCGGGTTGAACCAAAGGACCAGCGTTTCACTAGCTTTTGATCCTCCGAGAACTTATCGATGGCGTCTTTCTGTTCCTTGAGAAGTCTCTGCTGATCTTTGATCTTAGCTGATAGCCTGTGTGGAAAAAGCAAACAAATGAAACACCGAGAAATAATCGTTATTTTTCTTGAAGAATTAAAAGGTTTCTTTACCTGCCAATGATGTCATTTTGTTCCTTCACCAGCTTCTGCTGACCATAAAGTTCCTTGTCCAGTTTCATACTCCGGATTTCTATTTCTTCAATGGTTTCCCTCTCTTTCTCCATTTGTGATGAATTCATCTCTGCAATCCTTGTATGCAGCTTCTGATTCTCCTCTCTGAGCTGATCAATCTCAATACTCTTACTCTTCAGCTGCTCATTAAACTCGTATCTTTCCTTCTGTAAATTATTGAATTCCAGTTCGAGTTTCTCCGCTTTTGTCATTAGATCGTTCTTTTCCACTAGGATTCTCAAGTTAGCCTTAACCCATTCCTCTTGTTCCTCCTCCAGATGCTTCAATCTCATCTGAGTCTCTGAAACTTCTTCGATTTTCTTCTCGAGTTTTGATTTGAGTTGCTCTATCTCCTCGACTCTCTTACCTTCGACGTTTCCTGCCAAATCCACATTCTGGGCACGCAGAAAATCTGTCTCCAGCATTAGGTTTCTCACCTGACTCTTCAAATCTTTGATTCTAGATGTTAACCTCACCTCACTTTTCCCAAACTTGTTCACCAGGTTTGATATTTCATCTCCTTTCTCCTTCAAGACCATTTCCAAACCCGATATCCGACAATTCAGTCCTTTGTTTTTCTCCCCTAGTTGTCTAGCCTCACTTGCTCTCGTCGCAATCTGTTCTTCTAATATGCCGTTCTGATCGATCTGCCTTCTCAGCTCAGTTCTTGCATCGCTCAGCATTCGTTCAAGCTCCTTCACATGTGCAGTCAGTTCCTGTTCTTTCTCTCCAGTCTTGCTCCTCAGATTCTTGTCAGCTAACACCGAGGCATACCCCGGGTTCAACGCCTCGATCTTGCGTTTCGACTTATCACTTTCAATCTCTTCCTTGGAGCTCAAATTCCCGGCGACAGCCTCGTTCAAATTACCAGCATTACTCTCGGTTTCCTCCGAAGAGTAGTACTCCCAATCTGAACTGGACGATGAAGAAGCAGCACCAAGGCTACCTTTTCTAGCACAAGTTTCGGAATCCAACCGCTCT